AGAATATACTTTTGTTCTTGAGACAATTTTTCTGAACATTTGCCCACCCCACCCCCAGTGACCATACAGGGACCTTAGACAATCCCACAGGGTCTTTGAGAAAATGCTCCCTCAGTGCCTGGGCTGGGTTCTAAAACTTGCTTGCCCCTGCTGTTTGCTCTAGGAAAGATTGGCCAACAGTCCTTTCCCAAGGTAGGGTAGGCTTGCAGGAAGTTGTCAGCAGACCGCTTCAGAGATGGTTCCTTGTTTGTCCGCTGGTGGAGCTCCCCTCCCACCACCACACCCGCCGTGCAGAGCGCGTCCCCACAGCCCCTGCTCCCATTACAGCACTTTCTCTTGCTGAAGTTACCCTCGTGCCTGACTCTCCCACTAGATTGTAAAATTTCTTTCAAAGGCAAGAAAAGCATCTTGGGCAGGTTATACAATGCTTAGCCCTTAGAAATGCTTAATCATATAAACACTTACTTTTAATTGATTTGTAATAGCAAACGCCTTTCCATAGGAACAGTTACGATGCAAATGTTCTGACCACCAGGTTTGCCGTGGAGCCAGTCGCAGGCGGAATCGCAGGCCTGCCCTTCAGCCTCACTTGCTCTTTGGCAACTCACCTTTGTTCTGTCCACAGACCACCTTCAGGAGCCCCAGACAGAGCAGCAGACAGAACCCAGTGTGAGGAAAGAGGCAACTTGCTTCCAAACATACGTTTTTGGGCCTGGGAGCCCACAGCAAAGGCCAGATAGCCAAGAATGCAGACAAATGGCCAGATCCAACTTTTTACCATTCCTAGCACCTCGCCTGCTCAGCCTCAGAGAAGCTATTGTGGGAGCCCCTTGTGGGCCCACAGCGTCTCCTCACTTCATTGCCAGTTTTTACTCTCTGGAGAAATAAACACTGGAGAGATGGACTGATGTGTGCCGGCGGAATCCAGAGGCTGTGTTAGCAAAAGTTTTGAACTTACTCTTGAGCGGTGATGTAGGAGTGGCCGTGCCCTCTCCTGGGGTACCCATAGACGAGCTGGGCCTCTTCACCAGGCATCTTCTAGGGTCACAGGACACCTAACAGCAGAGGCACATGGGCATCATTTAATGTATCCACAGCATACTCGCTCGTCATCTCATAAAGACCCACAAAGACACTCCCTCTAGGCGACCAGGAATGACAGCTGGGGCCCTGGTCTCCCTTTATGAGAGGACGTGTGCCTGCTTCTTTCATTGCTACCGAGTGGAAATTGCTCAGGTTTCTAATCCCTTCTACCAACAGAAAATTAAGTTCAAAGAAGAAACTAAAAACAAAAGCAAAATACTTTAAAACTGAGTTATTCTTTGGGGAGGAAATGCTCTTCATTTGCCTTCAACTTGACTCTATAGCATACACTGTAGAGAAACAAGCAAACGAAAGGCATTTTTATTCGTCCTTACTTTCCTTGCCCCAAGACTGTGGTTAATAAAAGGAGTTATTTCTCTCCAAAGGTATTATTTGATATCAATCCTTGGACAAATAGAAGGCTATGATGACCTAATGTCTGTGGCCAAGCACAGCACCCTCCCAGCCCACTTTCCAACAAAGGAAACCACCCCATACAGGTGCCTGGTGGAGTCCACAGTCACCCCACCCAAAACAGGCTGAATAAGCCCACTGCCTGACTTTTATAACAATCTGTTGTCCCAAAAGCAATTTCTGCTTCTCCCTTGTTCAAGTCTCATGACTAGGGTTTAAATATATATAATGTTTGTGTGTGTTTTATATATGTCATTATAATACAAAAATTTAAACTATAATACAAATAGACAAACAAACAGCTCATGAACTGCAGTGGTTGTGATTAAAGCGTTCCTGTTAAAACCCAACAGCGGTTTCCCTTCTCCCCTTGCTATTATGTATTTTTCTTCCCTCTTATTGTTCTCATGAATTTCAAAGGTCCGATCCCCACAGAATTATATTAATGAGCCTGTTTGGAACAGCAGGAGAGAAGGGGGAGGGCAGAGTGGGAGTTCACCGCACGAGCCCTTTCCACTGGGGCATCTCTGTAATTTGCCCTTCCCAGTGGTAGAAAAGAAATTACAGCTGAACTCACTGATCAGCTCAGGTGAATAATGCAGGGCTGAACCCCGTGTTCAAAATTATAGACACGAAACCCAATTAATTCTGTATGAACTTGTTTTTATGCCTCCAGCTCAGAGCCTTGGGGAACGGTGCGAGGACACCCATGCCCTGGCCCGACCCCACCCAGGAGCAGCAGTCCTTTGAGTGGCAGCCGGTGCTGCTCACAGGCTGGCTCTCCCTGGCTGCTGCTCTGCTGCTGGCAGCCTCGAGAGAGCATCTAGGAGACTGGGAACCGTGGGCATTTGGGTATTACCAACACTGAGGAGAAACTCTGCTGATGGCCAAGCTTCAGAGAGGCCGTGAGGGAGGGCGCAGGAGTGACCAGGATCTCCCAACCCTGTTCTGAAAGAACAGGTCCACACTGCGCCTGAGAGGGCAGTGGGTGCTCTTACCTTCCCGAATGGGCCGTCCTCCGTGGCAGCTGCCCTGTGTGTGAAGACTGCTTCTCCTCTCTTAATCTTTCCCTTCTTTCTTTTTTCCTGGTTTTGAGTCCCATGTTAGTCACGAGTTTGGATTTCTGATGGGGTCATCTGAGATTGCTTAATTGGCGTGAATGAAATCAGCTTCATTCCTCCCCTCAAAAAGTCACGCTCAGTATGGCCTTTGTTTTCCCCTACTCAGGATTTCATCCTGGGGAAGCCACTTATTTTAGATGCTGGTCCCTCCTCTGTAGGGCTGCGGGTTAAAACATAGGATGCCCAGGTACATTTGAATTTCGGAAAAACAATAGTGTTTTCATTAGTTATTGCTTTTATTTTTTAATTTTTTAAAATTTATCTTTATTGTTGAAAGTATTATGGATGATTGGCAGCAAGACCAGGGAGGAGGGAGGTACTGACTGGATCTCAGGGGAAGGGGAAGCTCCCGAGTGTAACTTAGGTCTGCTGGTGATGGGTGCTAATTCAGGGGCCTTGAGTGCGCCTGGTCATTGTTCCAGGATGGAGACTGCAAAGCAGCTGGCATCATGCCTTCCCCCAGAGGGGGATACAGGACCAGACCCAGCACACAAGGGACACTATGGCCTGTCTGGGGACATACCCTCCAGTTCCTGTGCTCTTTGGAGTTCAGCAAGAAAGTCCTGATCAGATCTTACAAAGGCATGCATCTCTTTGGGCCTTTGAGTGGTTTTCAGCTTCTGAGGTACCCAGTCCTGTCGGGTTGAAGTGCCCAGGATTGGCTGGGGTGGCTTCTTCAAATAAGGCTTCACAAGTGTAGGGGATGTAGCCCAATTCCCCCTCAGTCAGTGTATAGGTGTCTGCCTGGCCAGCAGCCACAAGGAGCAGAGCAGCCCAGAACTAAGTGTTTCCCACGCCCTTGATGGCTAATAAGCCCCTCACCAGCCTCTGTTTGACCTTGGCCTGCATGCAGGCCTCTCCCAGCACTGCTCTCTCCCTCTCCCTCTCCCCTTGGCTAGATAAGCCCCTAGCCTACCCTGGCCCAGTGAGGAAATTCCACAGATGTAAGTAATAAAGGCTATGTCTCTCCCCTCTGGCCCCCCATGTGCTTTTTCTGGACTAGCAAGAAACAGTGTGGCCCTCCCAGGGTTGGAGCTCCTACGGTACACCAAGGAACCTCAGCCTGAAAATCCTACCACATCCTGTTTCCTGGAAGTGCCCCAGAAATTCCCCTTGACTAGGCTCCTGGTCACTGTCGTTGGACTATCCTAGGCCTCAGGCTCTACTCCAGGGCCAACCCAGGCCAGGCCCTGCCTGCCCTCACCCTCCACACTTCCTAGTGACTTGTTACAGTACCCTCCTCACCCCCACCCCTAGGCTCACAGCAGGGGCTCCACAGTCCAAATCACCTGCACTTCATCTCTTCAATCTGTGTCACTTTGGGTAAGTCATAAACCTCTTGGAGCCTCACTGCCTGCATCTGAAAAGTAGGGCTAGCCTGGCCAGTGTGACTAAGTTGGTTAAACTTCGCCCCATGCACCAAAGGCTGCCAGTTCGATTCCTGGTCAGGGGGCATGCCAGGGTTGCAGGCTCAGTACCCAGTTGGGGGCATGCAGGAGGCAGTTGATTGGTAGGGCTAAGAAAAGTACTCCCTAGGTTAGCTGTGAGAGTTAAAAGAGATCGTGCTCACCCGGTGCTTGGCAGTGTCTGGTACAGAATAAGTTTAGCAACATAGTGTGCTGACCCATTACCCCTTTGGCCCAGTTCAACCTGCCTTAGTTTGGAGGTGGCACTGCCACTTCCCTGTCCCCAGCTCCAGGGTTACAGCTTGCACCTTGCTGGCTCCTGACTGGTTCTCTGCTGCCACCTGGTGGGCCTGGCCTCGCACCACGGGCCCACCTGCTGAAGCCCCGGTGGAGCCGAGGGGGACTGATGGCAGAGATGCCCCTCTGATCTTTCCAAAGCCTTCCGGCTCACAGTGCTCAGGGGCCAGGATCCACTTTACTCATTTCCTTGGGACTTAGAACCTTCTTCAGTGCCAGTGACCGTTCTTGGATTGCCATAGCCCCTGGCTCCACCCCGAAAAGCCCAGGCCAGGCCCTACTGCCCTCGCTCTCCACACTTCCAGTGATTTCCTTACTTCTCCATCCCGACTCCCCCCACCCCAACAGGCCGACAGCAGGGGCCCTGGAGTCCAAACTGCCTGCATGTCATCTTTTTTTTTTTTTTAATATATCTTTATTGATTTCAGAGAGAGGAAGGGAGAGGGAGAGAGAGAGAGAAACATCAATGATGAGAGTCATTGATCGAGCCCACAACCTGGGCATGTGCCCTGACCGGGAATCGAACCCCGATCGCCTGGATCCTAGGTCCACACTCAACCGCTGAGCCACGCCCGGCCGGGCTGCACTTCATCTTTTCAATCTGTGTGGCTTTGGGTGTGAGGGTTTGCTCCTTCACATATACCCCACCAGAAAATTCTAGAATGTTATAGAGGACATCGCTGTACATGGGGTTGATGCTGCTGCCCTTTTATAGAAGCTGAACAAACAGGAATTGCTGTTTAGAAGGCAGAGAGCTCAAGCAGGCACATCTGTGGTGTCTGAGGCCAGCTGCAGACAGTATTCCCTCCCTACACCCAGCAGGGCCCTGAACCGAGACAAAAAGGCCTTTAGTCCCAGCTCCTGTTATACCTGTGTGACCTTGGGCAAGTTACTTAACCTCTCTGAGCTTCAGCAGCCTCATATACAAAATGAGAATAAACAGTAATTTTTAAAATGCAGTGAGACTTGAGAAATAATATGTAAAATCGTCCAGCACAGTGCCTGGCAAATTGCTGAAGTGTGAGAAAAGTGGATACCTCTTGGAATCTCCTGCGAATGCGCAGACAGCCTTGAGAGGGAGGGATGGAGGGGTCATCCTATGAACTCATGGTCAACTGTGACCTGAGGGCTGCCAGGCTAATCAGCTAACAAGTTATTGCCTGCGGCGTACAGGGGGTGGGGCGGAGAAGTTCTGAAGGTGAAGGGGCAGTGGCAAGGTGGAGACAGAACAGAAGAATGAAGGTGTGTCTACACGGGGACCTACAGGAAAGCCCTAGCAGCCTGGGGGCAACTGGAGGGCAGCAGGAGCCCCTCCTCCCTCGGCCACTAGAGCAAGAGTAGCTTCTGCTGGCCTCTGGCTGGATTCCGGGAAGGAGCTGGGAGGCCTTCCAGGGGACCTAGTGTCATCCCCACACATACACAGCTGGCGCCGGTGTGAGCAGTGGCCAGCTTCCAAGGCTGTTCTGGTGGGCAGAGGAAAGCACTGCTAAATCAAAAATGGGATTTAAGCATCCCATGGCCACTTCTGACCAGCCTCTGTCAAGAAGGGTGGGATTGCAGGACTGGATTTCTATGACCTTTGGGGTGGAAAATATTGAGGGGTCAACCTCAATGTCCACTATGATGTCAGATAATGCTAGAGCCACCCCAGATTCCTGCCCAGGATACAGCGGGGGTACTGGTTTTTCTTGGGGGCAGGAGGCACAGGAGAGGT